TAGTTTGCCTAATCATCATGCAGTGTCTACAACAATCAAGACTATCCTCCACCGATAGCCCAAAGGAGATCTTTTATGCAATAAATAAACAAAATCATGAAGTGAAAATTCATCTATAAAAAATGATAAAATAATTTTATTTACCAAACATGAAGTGTCAAAAAGGTACATTAATGTCTATTTGGGTAATATGAAGAAACCATATATATATCTTGTGGAACTTTACATAATGTGATTGAATTGCTTTTTCTTAATGCAACTCATCCTCCCACTAAAAGTAATAAAATTTAAGTTCAGAAAAAAAAAAAACCTTAACTTTACTAGTTTTTATAACTTTTTCAAAAAAAAAAAGAGTACAAACTTTTATGCCACAAGTTTGAGGAGTGTTCATTTATCAAGCTATATTTAGGACCAACATAATAATGTAAGATAAATTAATTTTGATAAATCATTAAATTTTAATTTATACAAACCATCATAAATAATACAAAAAATAAAAAAAGAGGCATTTTCGATAAATTAAACTTTTATTCTAAATTTTGCAAATAACTATTAAGGTTAATTAAGTTTAGACAAATCAATAAATAATTTTTTTCAAAATTAGAATGAACATAAAATTTTTGAACAAAGTCTAAATAATAATCAATGTCCAAAAACTAAACGATAAATCCCAATAATTTCAATTGGAGTTTTAACATAATTGGTTTGAAAATAATCTTGCATCAAATTAAAAAACATGAATAGCCATTTTCTTTCTTATGAGACTGAAAATCTTAAACAGACTCCTTTTTTTTAGGTGACTATTTCTTTATGTCCTTTTATAAGCATTCTTCCTTTCTTTTCGGCTCCTTGAATTACAGGATCAATAAATGATATCTCAATTACATAAGTTTTGTCTCTTTTTAAATAAACATACTAGTCAATATAAATGACTCATACTGAAGAGATAAATAAATTAAAATAAATTACACGAAAACAAACTCATTCACAAATATTCTTAAATACTTTAATTGAGCAGTCAAGTTAGATAATTCAATGACATGCTCATACATCTCATGCATGCCATCAAACTTTATGTTGGTAAGCTTAACTGTATGTGTCCCAGCAAAAAAACTTATTAACAGTTCGAAAACATTATTTCACATTATTTTGCATTATCAATTTAAAGAAGTTAAAACTTAATGTTTGATATACTCATTCGCATAAAAACATAAACTTTATTTGTTCGATCCTTTTATACTTTATGAAAAACCTTTTTTTTCTTTTATATTGCTTGAATTATAATAGCAATAAATTTCCCAAATAGTAATACTAAGTCAAAATTCAAGACATCGGGATAAAACTGAACTTATTTTATTTATTTATTTATTTATTTTGAGAAATCTTTTTCATTTAAAATTGAAACAAACAAAGTATACAAATATAGTGAAATAAAACTTTAATCAATAATTTATCCTCACTAAATTAATGCTAAGAGTAATCAATAATTGACAATTAGTCAAGATAAACACATGTTTAAACAATCAAAAATAGTATTACCGTGATCTACCTTTAGGATAATCTAATGGCATACTATTTAACAATTATGATGATTCCCTTTCACCAATATGACTAGTTGATAAAATATTTATAATTAAGTAGGTTTGTTACCTTTGGGTATTCATTCCAATATAAATTATGAATGCCCATCAACTATCATATTCCAATTCAGCATTTACTTAGAAGTGGTGTACCTTTGGGCCAACCTAATATCTTTGTAATTAAAGAATTGCGATTTGCAAAGTCATTATTTTTTAATACTTGGAAAGGGTTTTAAATTTCAATTATTTGATGACATCTATGTGTCATTCTGATTGGGTCACTTTGGCAACTACCAATCATATCATAATTTAGATTTCATGTCAACATGAAAACTTTGCATGGATATTATTGAATAAATAATAATTTATTCACAATTATTCATAACCATAATCATAATGCATATTACTAAATCATAAAAATAATATTAAGACAATAAATATTAACATAATTCATATTCTATGTTACATAAAAATATATACTTTTGTACGTCATCAAATCACCTATAAAAATCAAGCTTATGCATAATGGTGGTAATAACATCATACTAAAATAATTTTTTTTAGAGGTTACAATTAGATCATTAAATAGCAATGTGCTTGATACTATAAAGATCACAATAAAATTTTAATATGCCTTCTCATACTAAAATTTAATAACATGTTAATGTGCCTCACAGTAAAATTTGATAATATAAAATTCAGCAAAACATGAATAATAATTCATTATGTAATACGAATATCTTTCAGCATTACTAAATCAAACAATACAATGGTCATTATCCACTAAACCTTTCCTCAGAATAAAAATAATTAAATCAGTCATAGTATTCAAGTATCAAAATATTAAAACATTCAGTTTATCATTAAAGAGTTAGCACTCATTAAATAAATATTATTTATACAATATGCAATCCAATCTAAAGTAGAAACATAAGAGTTGCGTATTAAATTTTATATCATGTTTAGCAAATTGAAAATTTTTGATCGAGGCAATCATAATTGTAATCAAAATTAATTGATATTTATTTACAAGAAAATCATAATGTTCTGAAACATGAGCTCTGATACCACATGTAAATAATTTTATGGTGTTATGCATATAACAACCTTCATAATCCAAAATCGTGAACTATCATGATTTTCACAAATAATAACAAAATGCGAAAAATAAATAACATACCCGAATCAGTTATGAGAAACCTTCGAGTGACCCAAAATTGATTGAATATAAACCTAATAATAATATTAGTAGGAGAAGGTTTTCTCTCTCTTGACCCTCCTTAGAATACATTGAATTCAGAATTAATTTGATAGGTATTCTGAATGTCCTTTTATAGATAGAGAGAGGACTAGTTTCCTTATTCAACAATGATTCCACTTTGCCATGAAGGTAGGATACTTAGAAAATATTCTTCTTTATTTACCAATTAATTGTAGCAAAAAATATGGAATCATAATCCTGCCAAATCTCTAATTCATATTACCATATCATGTGGGTCAATATAATGATTACAAATGAATGCAATCTCTACGACGATCAAGAACTGTCGAAGATATTCAACAAAATGAGCACCAAATCGAAGTTGTATTATTGTTTTATGGAGTTAAACAAGAAGAATGGGAAAGGAAAAAGGATTGATCGCATGGTAGGGAAGGTTACGTGGAAGGGACTCGATAGAGGCAAGCCTATTCATGACAATGAAGGAAGGCTTACTGGACGCAAGCGAAGTTTCGATTATATCAACAGAGAATCGAGTGAACACAGTGTGTGGGACATGAAGGAGTACAGTCTTGAAGGTGTTTCTCTAGAAGATGATCAACTGATCAAAGTGAGTTCTTTCTCTCTAGTTCTATGTTTCTAATTAATTATTGTTTTTTTTTATTTTATTTGTCATATGTTGTTGTTGTTTTCTTCAAGGAAGGAGGTTTGATCATCATCCATATGATATGTGGTAGTTTCAAGATCAAACTCACACACATAACTTATCACATGACAAAACAAAGATATAGTACATATCATGATATCTAGGTCTTATCACATGATAAAATAAAGATATAGTACAGATCATGATATATAGTTCAGATCATGATATATAGGTCTTATCACATGATAGAACAAAGATATAGTGCAGATATAGTGCAGATCGCAGAGACAGATCATTCATACATGTTTAGATGATTTATGTTTTTATTGTTGTTTTCTAATAAATTTTTTAGGGGTTATGGGTGCATGTCACACACACATAAATGTTTAAAATAAAATAAAATAAAAAATAGAATTTGAGTTTTGTAACAAAATGAACCCTTAATTTTTAATTTATTTTAAAATTTTAAACCATAATCTTTTGATTTGTTTTTAATTTAAATTATTTGTCTATTTTCAATAAGTGAAATAGCAAAAAAAAAAAAAAAAAGTTTATTTTAATTATTAAACTCAATCAAAAAGGGTTTCACTAGCCTTTTTCTTTTTCTTTTTCTTTTTTTCATTTACTCAAATTTATAATCGAAACACAATCTAAAAGAATAATATACGAATACAACACTTGCATGGCTTCAAAACTTTGTAACTTCTACTATAAAAAACTTAAAAGACAACTTTAGCAACTTTTAAATTTACTTATCTTTTCGAATAGCATAAATCTTGAAAATTTGAGGAATAGACAAGACATGGTTTCCTTTTGTTGGCAGCAGTTTAGAGCCCAACTCTACAGCTCCTGAGCCCTTTTATTTTTTTTCACCTCCTCTATTTTTTTGTCCTTCATTTGCAAAACTCATATCCATCCCATCTTTCTAGTTTAATTTTTTTTTTTTAAAATGGTTTCAAGCATGATTTATTGCAAGATTTTATCTGTACTCAGAGTTACTATGGAAGACTATCTATATTTCTGAATCAAGTATTTGGTTATCTTTCTTGTACTTATTTTTATTTCATGCCTAAAATTGGGGTAATTTACATTTGTGATGACATTTGTCTTTGCTAGTTTTAACCTTTCATGTTAAATTTCAAAGTTTTTTTTTTCGGAAGTCATTTACATATTTTTGTATCTTACAAATAATTACTAAACCCTTGTATTTATGGTTGCAGGACAAAAATTATGTCCTATGTGTGATCAAAAGGAAGCGTCGCAGGGTAGAAATCGAACAACAAGAGCAACCAGTTGATGATTCCGACATTGACCATTACTCCGTCGAAGACGACCAACCTGCTCCAGTTATACAACAAGAAGAGCAACCTACTGCAACATTTATACAACAAGAGTAAGCTCAAGCTGATGATAATGGCAACTTCGATTGGGACCAGTTTGTTTGGGATTCCACTTTGGTAGCTACTCCAGTAATACAATAGCTAGATGCTGCTGATGATGATCTGTTTGATTGGGACCAGTTTGAATGGAATTCCACTTTGCCATCACTATAGTGAATTGGATACACTTTGTTTCCTATTTTAGTCTCTGTTCAGAATCATTGTCATTCAATTACTATATTTCACTACTAGTAGTAAATCACTTAACCGTCTAGTGTTAGGGATCCAACTGACTACCGAGTGACTGTTTTTTATTTGTTATTAATTAATTAATGATATTACAATCAACCCATTTTATTATAATCGTTATGAAAATCAAATGCAACACAATTAGGGGTGTTTTGAGAAGTGCATTTTTTGCCCTTTTTTCTTTTGACTTATTTTCATCTTTAATGAACTTTTTTTAAAAAAAATTCAAAAAGTTTTAGGTTTCTAAATTCACAAGACGAATCAGAAAATTATAATTTCTTTTAGAAAAAATTTAAAAAAAAAATAGAAAAGACATAATAGGCAATCTTTTTTGTCTTATTTTCATCTTTAATGATTTTTTTTCCTAAAATTTTTCAAAAGAAATGTACTTTTTAGATTCATCTCGATAAGACGGACGGGAAAAGTAAAATTTTTTTTACATAATTCAAAAAAAAAAAATTCACTAAACACAAAATCGAAAAAAGAAGTGACTTTTTTTTGTTGCCAAAATAGGCCTTAAAACAAATAAACTTTCAAGCTTGAGGAATAAGGCACACACATATGACGATAATATTAGGTGACGATATTACCAATTAATGAAAATCCCATCAACTTTCATTTAAAATTATTTATTATCACATTTTTTGGGTCCATAAAAAAAATATTTTGTGATGACACCATCAACCATTACAAATAAATTTGTAGCAACAACAAAAAATGACGTTCATTTGTTTCTCCCAAATCCACATTTTGCGCTGTATACATCACGGGAAGAGGGTGCTAGTGGATGTAATAGAGGAGTGGAAATGGCAGGGTTGGGGAAGAGGGAAGAGGGTGTTGGTGGTGGTAGCAGAGGGGTGGGGCTTAGAGAGGGGATGGTAGAGGGAGAGAAGGGTTTTGGTGGTGGCTGTTGAAGGGTCAGGAAAGAGGGTGACGGTGGTGATAGTGTAGGGATGACTGTTGGAAGAGTCGCGGAGGGGAATGAGCATGTTGGTGATGGCATTGAGTGGTTAGAGAATGGGTAAAGGGTGCAGGTTGTGGCAATGGTTTAGCTCATACGTAAATAATTCCTTGTTAATACTTGAAGCCTGTTAACGGGTTTAAATTAGCAGGTTTAAATTAAAAGACGAAAATACTTTTATAGCCATATCATCAATACCAATACATATTTACATACCTGTTATTTAAACCTAAGTTGACACCATACATCACACCTACTACTGTTTCACTTCCCCTACAACAGACTGTGGTTCGAATTTGCCATATCTTTGCCTTGTAGCGAGATAGGCTCTAAGAAGAAGAAGAAGAAGTCCATAGAGTGAAAGAGCTAGACATTCCAAGTTTGAGATTGGATTTGTGTTTTGAGGTTAGATTCTTGATCTACTCTTATTGTTCTTTATGTTAATCTGATCCTATTGCATGATTGAGCATGATTCATAACCGATGCATTGATTTAAAGTTTTGTTTTAGAAAGAGAAAGTGGTGTTCTTGTGTTCTTAAAGAAAAACCATGTTTTGATCCAAAAGTTTGTATCGAGTTCCATGTTTTTGTGTTTGTTTCCATGAAATCTTCAAGTATGCGTACCCAGGTCCTTGTTTTTGAACTCATATCATGAAATCTCATATTTTGAGAAGTTATGATTTTTGGCATTCATGTTCTTCATGTTCTTCGTATTCATGTTCTTCAAGAGGAAACCCAGATTTCTAGACTTCATTTCCCTAAGTGTGGTCACCGAGACCCACTTTTGTCCAGACCTCACACCTAGGCCAATCATTGCATCTCACCTTAGCCTACCTTACATGATTACTTACACCTTAGCCTATCTTGCATGCACCCCTAAGCCAACCACTGCATACCTAGGCCGACCACAGTACACCTTTGTTGGCACCTTGTAACATCTTAGCAGGCAGCCCCATACCTAGGCCAAGGAGACAACACCTCGGCCAAGAGGTGTGGAACCTCGGCCAAGCCACCTGAGTTCACCCAGCCAGGCCATTTCTGCCCAGCTCATCCCTATGCATCCATTCTGAGACTTGGTTTGTACCCATAATGTTTTTTCAAGAAAAATATTGATTTAACTCATAGCACATGTTTTACTTTGTCTTGACTTGGCTTTGGAAAGAAATGTCGGGATCTATTTTACTCCTTTGAAGCTTGTTTTGAGAGTGCATTGCATATGTAACGCCCTCAAAATAATAACATTAATCCCATCAACCAACCTGAAACAAATCCGCCCAACACATCCTATAACTCAAATACGAAGTAAAAGGATGTAAACAAAATAATAAACAACTACCAACATCCACGGACACAAGTCCGGATCACTATACAACAAGGGTAAACCCGGGATCGCTATAGCGTACCCATCCTTGAGCATCTCTTCTGGCCTTCTGTGAAATGCATTCAGTGGACTTTTCATGTATTTCTAGGTCTTGGATCCTTGCCTTAATCCCTACATTCGAAGATTTATTGTGAGTGGTATTTTTAATAAAACTATGTTATAATGTTTTAGATAAAAGCTTTGCTTTGTTTTGGAAAAGTATTTGACCAAGCGTGAATGATTATCCCTTAGTTTTTGTATCAAGTATTACGTTTGTTTTGATAACATTCTTGGAAATTCCTTAGTGCTAGGGGACTATAATGCAACTAGTACCTTTGTTTGAGATGTCTCTCTTGCCACCGACAGCTTTGGGGGGTGGGCTTGTCTAATCGATTCCAAATCGATTATTCCTTTGTTTTGTGAGGAATGTCATCTTTTGTATTATGTAGATGTTAGTAAACATCCCAAGAAACTTTGAAAGACTTTGATTTATGGACTTGGTTCATCCCTTGTTTTGTTACAAGTTATGGCGTGTAAGGCTTTGGTAAAATCTCGAATATCATTCATTCAAACCTTTATTACTTATATCATTCACTGAGTTTTCTACTCACCCCTCTCCCTTATGTATATACATATATATAGGTGATGAACAAGAATGTGATGTCGCCTAAGCTTTATTTGGAAGATGTTTCAATTCATGTTTTTGTTTCATCTTGAAAATTATGCTTTTTAGTTTTGTAGACCATCGTTTGTATGTTTGGGCTTGAGAAGCCTTTTGATCAAGATGTAATATGTACTTTATTTTATTTTGTATCTAGGTTGTAAAACCATGTTAATATGTATGTCATTTCATTTAATCTGTTCACAGCTCTTATGGACTAATTAGATTTGCATTTATTGCTTAAGCACATGTATGCCCCATATGTATAATATGTTTGTGTGAATCTTTGTAAGTTGGCATTTGGTAATCTCGGATTACTGGTCATCACGACATCATTCTACTAGGAGCGGAATGGGATCGTGACAGCGATTCTGGTTTGGACGCAAACCATTTGATGTTTTGGATCCGAGTTTCATTGCCTTGTATAATCATTTATGTCTTATTTCCCTTACACCTCTTTAAGTATGGTTTTTCGGTTGTGTTGATTGCTTTTGGAACAGGTTGGTACCCTGTTTTTCAAAAACCTTATTCGTGACGATCCAGAATTTTTCCCTCTGCTCGAGCGGGGGAGTTGACGCTCGAGTGGACTTTTGAGGCTCCCAATATTTTTGTAGTCTGTCCGAATTCCCGCTCGAGCATAGGATTGGTCACTCGAGCGGACGGCTTTGTTGGTCTGCACGCTCAAGCACAAGATTGGGTGCTCGAGCAGGTTGCCTAGTTGAGTTTGAATTTCTAAGACTAGTGGTTTGTTTTTGACCTTTCATTATTGTGTTTGGAGCCTTCCTATTTTATTTTGGGACGTTGATCAAAGTGGTAATATGATGGTAAAGTAAGAGTGAACCAAGAATTTAGTTCAGATAATTTTTCCTACGAGTAGCCATCGCTCTTTTGCCCTTTTCTTTTTCCACACTTTGAGTTTGGATGTGAGGCTAGAGCCATTGGAAATCTTGTTTCCGGGGCTTCAATTTGGACACAAGAACTAAACTAAAACAGAGTATGGATGAGAGAGTTGCGCCTGTTTGAAGTTTTGGAATCTGTGCTGGAAGCAGGTACGCTCGAGGTGAAAAAGCGACGCTCGAGTGGTCTGCGCAAATTCAGCAAGTTTAAAGGCACTTTTCTAGATCATTCTTCACACTTCCATCTCCTCTCTTCATTCCTCTCACCCTAGGTCCGAAAACCCTAGGTTTTGACCCCAAATACTCTCCACTCTTCTAAGATTTTGGCACGATCCGTTACAAGAAAGTGAAGAGGCTTGAAGATCTTACTTTTCTATCGATTGGAATTCGGATTTGCGAAGGATTCTTCTCAAAGCTTTGCTCCTTGCTTGATTCTTGAGGTAGGGGTCCTAGTTCTTTTTCAATACTTGCATTAATAGATAGATTTGTGGTATTTTGATTATATAAATACAAATTCTCAATTTTTTAGCATATAGTGTACATCATGAGATTTGGGGGTTTAGGGTTTGAAGTGTTGGGGTTCAATTGTTGGGTTAATATGGTGGATAATCAACCTTAGGTGTATAATCAAGGAGAAAATTGGAATTAAAAGTAGTGGTGTGAGAAGTTTAAATTTTTTCTTGAAATTCTTGATTTTCTTGGAAACCCTAAGTTGATTCATGATGATAATTAATGATTTTGCCCAAATTGAAAGTAGAATCATGAAATTTAGGTATTGAATTGTATATATACAAGTTCAATTGAATTTTGAAAGTGTTTGAAAATTATGTTAAAAATTAGCGAATGAACTGTCATGCCCCAAACCTGCCCCTAAAAGTTTGGTCCATGACCA